GCACCTCAATGTCAGGGGATGGGCCCGTGTGCCCCGCGAACTCGTAGTACCCTGTCTCACCGGCGAAGAGGTTCACCTTCTGGCTTCCACAAATGGAATGTAGCGTTTCGGGGTGGTGTCTTGGGATCCCTGCTTTAAATCAAAAGCACCAGGCAGAATTCTACAGTGTAGAACCAATATGAACCAATGACCCATGATTAGCAGACTCACTGCTCCCACCTTCATGCAAAGCATCGTTTCCGAGGGCGTGCAGCCTGACACTGAGGTCGTCGGGCTGAGGTTCTGAGACTGCGTCGGGATCACAACATCCACATCGAGGGTCGATTCGCAGTGCTCACCTACTGAAGTGGCAAGCAAGGGAACCCCGTCATGGATGGTGTCACCATAAGCAGCATGATTTGCCAGGTAATTGCGCATCACGTGGATCTGAAAGTTTTGGACATTTATCATGCCCCACATGATGTCCTCCAAGTCCTCTACCGCTGCCACTTGAGTCTCTGCGTGCTTAAGCAAGATCTTGGCCATGTTGACTGCATTAGCGTGATGAGGTATCATTTGCTGCATGAACGTGACGATGTGACTCTGGTGGCTGTCAAAGCCCACGACACGCATCTCCTTGTTCATCATGCAGTCTATTGCCTGCATGCACTTCTCAAAGTCCGTGTCGTGCGTCCCCGGCAAGAACTTCCCCGCGCACTCCTTCTGACCTGTTACCCAGGGCTATTTCAGGTTGCTTCAGACACCGACTGGCCTACATCAAAGAGCAAAAGAGTCAAGAGCATCCAAAACTGTAACCTAGCCACCACCATCTGCATAGGCACTTGCGTTCGTAGTGCCACACATGGTATCGAAGGTATCCAGGCTGGGGACCGAGTAGAGACTCAACTCCTGTGGCTGACTCAGCGCCGTCCCGTTCGCCTGCGTCACGTCGGAGCCATCAGCATTCTTGATGATAATCTTGCCGCTCATCTTCGAATGGATGTGGCAGAAGTAGTAGATCA